AATTGTAATTAATTAATAGCACTAATCTAGTGAATTGCAAATTATGGACATAAACACCAATACATAACTATGTAGGACTCTTAATTTGAAATTTAATGGATTCACACATCTATGTAAAGCACAAAAATATACTGCTAAAAGAAAATATGCACAACCATTAATTTGTGTTCATAGGGCATACACATATATATACAATTTTAAAATAAGAAGAACTTCCAAAAAATCACCTATGCATAATTGTGTACAACTTTAAAGTTGAATATAAATACTTGTATTTTAAAACTTTTCAAATTTATTCAAATTCAAAATCTTGTTCTCACAAAGCCGGAAGACCATCGCCTGTTAAGTTATCACCCAGAGAAATTTAAAATAATAGAATAAATGTGCTGAAGAAATGACACATGCTATAATCTAGAGGGGGAATTTTTAAAGTAAGCATGATTAAAAATTTAATTATGTGATTAAGTATTGTTTAAAAAAATTTTAAAACTAGGCAAAGTCGCCAATTTAACGGGCGACTTAGTGCTGACTCAACACATGGTTGCCAGGTCATCTAATTGATACTGTAGCAAGTCGCCGATTAAACGGGCGACTTGATACATTAAAAAACAGTAGAATATAAATTTTTTTATTTTCTTAAATTAGATTATTTCAAAAAATGGCTCAACAAATGATTATTAGAGCTCTATCTTCCCTCCCCACAGCTTTCCGAACAGTCCAAATCCTTGAAACGTGATCGTGCGTTGAGATTCTTTACAGAAGCAAACACTTCGAAAACTTATTAAAAAAAAAAAGAAAAGAAAATCTATTTTCTCCCGTCTTCTTCTTCCTTCCCTACATGAATTTCCTAGGTTCCTACAAAACCTAGCTCAAATCCCTAAAATTAAAGCTAACACCTCCATAACCCAAAAAAAAAGCAAAAACATAACTAGTTGAGACATTTTCTCAATCCACTATCAAAATACTCCTAAAATCAAAAAAATCTGTACTGCTCCGCCACCAGGTTCCATTTATGGATTCTATTAGGCTATTAGCGGCAGAGACTTTCAACGCTAATCAACATCAAAGAAACAGAAGAGGAAGGCAGCTCAATTTTAAAAATATATTTTATTATTTATTACTGTAGCAAGTCGCCCATTTAAGGGGCGACTTATTACATCATTAATTTGTTGAGCTGGCAACTGATGTGTTGAGTCAGCACTAAGTCGCCCGTTTAAAGGGCGATTTTGCCTAGTTTTAAATTTTTTTTAACGATACTTAATCACATAATTAAATTTTTAATCATGCTTACTTTAAAAATTTCCCCTAATCTAGATTGTCGACTAAATAACCATAATGTTGGTTGTGCTACATTTATTAGTGTTAATCATAATTGATAAAATATTCTATTTGGTGTGGCATTTTTGTTAGAGAAAATTATTGAATCTTTTACATGAACTTTTGAAATAACTATTAGTGTTGATGGCAAGCATTCAAAAACAATATTTCTATATTAGAATCATGAAATGAGTAGGGCTATTAAAAATATCTTACCCATACACAAATCCAACTATGATAGTGACACTTATCAAAGAGAGCTCTATCTAAAGTACATTGCTTCAATGGTGACAATGTTGTCTAAAGATTATTTTATAAATGTATGACTAAGTGTGGTTTAGAGGAGAAATTTGAGAAAACATGGGAAGAAATAAGTAATAAAGATTGCCTATATGATCACCCATGACTAAATAAGTTGTACATAATTAGAGAGAAATGGTTTACAACTTTAAGCATAAAATTGAAGATTGCTTTCCTAGTTTATAGAAGATCATGATCAATTGATGTAAAAATGAATAAGAGGAAGATTTTCCTTGCTACAAATTAGTTATATACTAAAGAAAATTTCTAGATTTTTGTTAAGAGAATAGTAGAAATAAATGCAAAAGAAAATTTCTAGATTTTGCATTCTTAAAATTTAATATTTGTTTGAAGAAAGATTGTTGAATGATAATCCTGGTTTATATAATAAATGTAGTATTGATCCTTAAGACTTTTTTTGTTAAGAAAATAGTAGAAATAAATACTTCAAAATTTTGGTTTGTATATTTTCATAAGACTTGGGCATTGTTTGGGACAACAGTAAGAAAGTTGTCTCTAGCGAAACCTTAGATAGATATCTAGTGTAGTTACAAGAAATTTGAAGTGATGGGCTTATTGTGTTCACGTTTTATTCAAGAATTAAGTTCCTAAATTTAAATCACAAAAATTATATTTTGAGAAGATCGATCCGAGCTAAGAAGGATATTTATATAATTATGAATCACAAAAACATCACAAAATTCTAGAAGAATGAATCTTCATATCAATTATATATTTTGAAATTATATAAGTAATTTCACATATCAAATTTAGTTCAGATGTATCATTAATTAGGAAAGTCAAGCGCATTTGTTAATCTTTTTGAATGAAAATTAACATAATTTGGACAGGATATTAGAGAGTAATGACATGAGTATGAAGTATAAGAAGATAAAAAAAATTATTAAAAAATTATTTCATCACACAAAAACTCACCAAAGATATGATCTACGAGTGTGATAAAAAACAAATTTAAAGAAGATGATGAGAAGAAGAAGCAAAACTTCAATTATATTAGACTACTTGAATGTTGAATCTATTAAAGTTTATCTTCTATTACAAAGACACTATAAATTTATAGAATCTCCATTATAATTTTATGAAAAAAGAAAATACATAAAATCTTTGTAAAAGAGAGATGGATCTATTGTTTCAAGGATCCATATAGAGTTTTTAATTCAAATCTTGCTTGTTTGATTCTCCAAGAAATTAGATTGGAAATAATATTTTGAAAAGATCCTTGATTGAACTAAGTGTTCAAATCTTTCTTCATTGCACATGGTGCCATATCATAAAGAGGAGAGAGAGAGGGGAGGCCAAATTTTCCATATAATTTTGCTTCAAAATTTTTCCAACCCTATATAAAAGAGTGTTGATTTCATTATAGTGATTAAAATCTTTCTTGATTTCTCCACGCTTCATAATTTAAAAATAATAGAATATATCCTTCCTTTTTGGATGAAAATAAAAATTTTCCATATTTACATGATTAAAATTACAACATCATTATTTTTATATTTGATAATAACGATGATGACAATCAACTTTCTTCCTCATGTTGATAGAGATGATAATGATAATATAAAACTTTTCACCTTTAGATGTTGATGATAGAAGTTTTATTTATGTCTATAAATGGTTGAATATGATGAAAGGTGAATATTTATTCTAATTGTTATGCATTATTTCTATCACTTTTTGAGAATTCTATTTTAAATAGTTAAAAAAATGCAGATAATGACTTTATATATGAGAAAACTATTCCTCGCCTATTGAAAAATTGAAGTAAAAAAATAATAATAAAGGAAAAAAAAAATGATTTGAATGTAGAGACTAAGGCTTCATTTGGGATAGCTTTTTGCCGCTACTTTTTTTTGCTTTCATGAAAATTTTGCACTAAAAATTTGCTTTAGAAAACAGTAAAAAAATTGTCCCGAATGAAGCCTAATAAGATAACTAATTGAAGTTTGTATTAGAAAATAAGATCTTCATCCCATTCCAAGAAGGGTTAAATCTCACAAGGATCAACATTGGCTAGCCATCAAGGTCTAAATTTTTTTGTAGTATTTAAGGGAGGCAAAAAAAGATTAATATCTCATCAAAGAAATTCAAGAAGAGATTAAAAATCACCAAATATTTGCGTCATAATCAAATAGAGAAGATGGGCCTTATTATTGTGTGAACTTTATATCATAATGTAAAGAGAGAAAGTGGCTTAGCTACCGATTATGAAGTGGTGAAAATGAAGAGGTGATAACTTATAATTATAAAGATAATTATATGATGATAAAAATATACTTTCTACAAAGACTCATTAAACTCTTCTAATAGGGAACTTTTATTTGGTTCGGTCACCTGACGTAGCTCTACGTTCGGACGTCAGTAAAATAGTACAACGTGTTCTCACTATTTACCGCGCGGCCCGACAACCCCGACCCGGAACAGAGACGAGATTGCTATTTTCGCGTGTTGCTAGGTATTGCTCGGTATTTGCTCGATATTTGCTCGGTATTGATCGATTTTGCTCGGCAATAACGAGAAATAGCATTATGTGAAGACCAATACCGAGCAATACCGTGTAATACTGAGCAATACCGAGCAATACCGAGTTTTTCTCGGTATTGCTCGGTATTGGTCTTCATAGAGCGATATTTTTCATTATTGACAAGCAATACCTAGAGTAATACCGAGCAATATGCGAACATATCAATCCGGGGTCAAGTCGTCGGGCCGCGCGGTATTGAGTAAAACCACGTGGCGACATGTTGTTAGCATCCGAATGTAGAGCTACGTCAGGTCACCTGACCTAATAATTGTTCTCTAATAGGAGAGGACCACTGTGTTCTATTATTTATTTCCTCACAAAGCAATACTCCAATTGCATTGAACTAATCAAGGCTTCGTTTGGGATAACTTTTTTACTATTTTCTAAAACGGCTTTCTAATACAAAAATTTCTACTAAAAAACTATTTTAGAAAGTAGCAAAAAAATTATCCCAAATAAAACCTAAATCTAGTCAACTCTCTTTTCCACTATAAAGCCACTACATATTTATGGAATCTCTTTTACAACATGAGACAAAGAAATACACAAATTTTGCTTAAAAGATGGAGTTGCTATCCTCTACAAGGATTCATGGAATTTTTAATTCAAATATTGCTTGTGTGATTGCTTAATTATACTTAAAGTTTGCTTCTAAATAATAAACTGATTGAATCTTTTAATGAATAAAATACTTAAACCTTCATCCTTAAAGGTGCCAAATCTTTTAGTATGTACATAGAATTAACTGAGTAAATAGAAGCATTTCAGAAATACTGGTATCATGCAGTAGCTATAAACAAAAGTACAATGGCTACAAAGAAACCAATAGGCAAAATTCTAGTGAACAGTAACTCAGAAAATGGACGCTACAGCTTATAAATTGCATGTAAAACTACATATAAAAGCACTGTTGTAAGATTATATTAAACAGCTTTCAGTTATTCCATGATAATACTGAGTGAAGGTTCGCTGGAAATATTACATACAGTAAATGATACAGAGTTTGATATGGAGTTCTCATTGTATAGGAGTCCTCCGGTAATAAGCAGGAACAGTAGCAGGAAAGAACATTTGTCGAACCCCCTCTGCTTTTATTATAGGGAAAATTATGTCACATGCACTCTGCAAAGAACAGTAGTCAATATTCAATAGATAGATACAGAAGACAAAAAAAAAATTCAAATCTCGCTTTAGAAGCACTGTGAAAGGATAGTAAACATGAAAGTACTAGTAAAGAAACAAGTGTTTCATATACAATATCGACTTTCTTACTGTTTTGTAAAACGATTTTTTTTTAAGTAAAAAATCTATTAAAAACAGAAGAAGAAAAAAAAGTTGTCTAAAACTGTCCCAAATAAAACCTTAGTTGAACTTTTTTGTAACTACAAAGCGAAGCATCTAATTCATGAGAAAATATTATGTGCGGACACTAGACGGTTCGGAGGCCAATCAGAACGTGCCACGTCACCCGGTACATAGCGCTACCGAGCAAAACAATGATGTGGAGCGTTCTGGTTGGTCTCCGGATACCGTCCAGGATCCTCATAGAATAATTTTCCTAATTCAGAGAACAACCATCAGTTGGTAAAAGAAATCCACGAGTACAGTAAATGCCACATATTTATACCTCACCAGAGTAATGCTACGCTCCCCAAATAAAGCAATAATTTTTTTTTTGTGTCCACAAACGTATGTGGTCCAATCAAAGAAATGAGCCCTTACATCTACATCAACACTGAACACAAGGATAAAATAAAGACCAAGGTAATAGTTAATTTAGTTAGGAAGTGAAGCATGGCCCGTACACAACTCTCCTTGTGCTACGCTCACCAAATAAAGCAATAATTTTTTTTTTTTCATGTGTCCACAAACGTATGTGGTCCAATCAAAGAAATGAGCCCTTACATCTACATCAACACTGAACACAAGGATAAAATAAAGACCAAAGTAATAGTTAATTTAGTTAGGAAGTGAAGCATGGCCCGTCAAAGTAAGCGCATAATGGACCACTTGACCACAACAGTGATAGAAAATCATTAATTTTCTAAACGGGTGCTACTTCAAAACTTGACAAAAGTTTAGGTGTCAGTTCCTAGCTCACGATGTAAAATAATATATTATTATTATTATTAAATATAGCCGACCCTATGTAGTGAGACAAAAATTTGATATTATTATTGTATTAATATTAAATACTATTAAATAATAAATAATAGGTTGATTAGATTAAAATTTAAGCATAAATATCCTATCAAACAATAAAAATGACAAATTTAAATCCTACATAAACTTACATCAATAGATTTGAGCATAATTTAAGCATAATTTAGCTTAAATTCCACAAAATAACAAAAATGATAGCTTTAAATCCAACAAAAAAGTTAAATCCTTTAAAATTGTTATGATATTTTATTAATTTGATGTTTAATTAATTAATAATTGATTGTGATATAAATATATAAACATTGAAATATTTAATTTTAATTTATAATTTAAAACTTATAACATATTAACAAAATAGCATGCGTCTTGCGCCAATGCGCCATTTTGCACCATTGACATGTATGATGTTGGCCTGAGGGGTAGCCGACGGCGAGAAGCAGCGGTGGTTACCGATGAGGCACGGCCAACGGCGGGTGGCGGCGGTGGCCAGTGGTGAGGATGGTGGTGGTTGGCATACGGGTCATGTTGGCGAGTGGTGACAAAGGCTACTTGGTTTCAGTGAAAAAGGTTTTCACTCAAAACCTGGATGATTTTATTTTACCTCAAAAATAAATTAGAATACTTTGCATTGCATTTGGTTTATTTTACATTATATATTTCAATATCACTACAAAATGATACTTTACGCCCACTTTACTTTCAACCAAACAGCCCAAAAAATAAACATTTTTCTTAAATGACTTTTCCACTTTTAGAAGTGAGAAGTGTGATCCTCTCCCTAACTATACAAGGCTTTACCCAAGTAAATCAAATCAAATGAGACTACAACACTAGTCCATTACTTTCAATTCTTGAAGGTTGTTGGTTTTACCCTTAAACTAGAAAGAAACCAACTGAAACACTTTGCTACTAACCTCATTTCAATTTGAGAAAATAATTTTCAAAGTGAAGCTTTTGTGAGTTAAGCTTTCATAGATTTGCAACAAAAAAAGAAGCCTAAATATAAGATGACTTTATATTCTATTAGTTCTATGTGAAATTTGATTGTGTCGATCAATTGAGTTATATTATTGACTCAGGCCTCAATTTCATCAATTGAACTCTCCAGGGGGTTGCAGGGGGCAGTGCTCTAAAAACAATTATTCATACAAGCACTACAGTGTCTTAGGATGTAGCATGGCGGCGCTGCATCTTGACTTGGAGACAGAAAGCCAAGGGCCAACGCTCCAAAGCCAGCACTGTGGCACTGCAAGTTGGACTGGAGATAGAGAGCGAAGCACTGCGGCGCTCCAAACCATGACATCGCGGTGCTGCGAGTCTGGTTAAGTAATTTTTCTTCCTTGTTTTTCTTGTTTCACTTGACGGGTTGTGTCTTTTTGGGTTATGGAAAATATCTATTGTCTGTTTTGAGTATAGAACAAAGCGGGAAGTTAAGAGAGAAAAGTAGAGAGTGTGAGAGAAGAGATCAGTACAATTTCTCCTAATTTTCATAGTGAATTTCTTAGTGTTGTGTGACATAATTGAAACAACTATCACAAGCATGCGCCGGGCAAGTTGAAATGACTAAAGATCTAATAGACATACTTCCATAAATACATGATGCTCTTGATTTCATTTATTTTTGCACAATTAATGATCGTAACAACTTTTTACCAATCCGTTTGATGTTCATAAAAAACAAAGCATTTCAGACTGATGCATTATCTTCATGCATATTTGGTTTGAGGCTCATAATTCATGGTTTCATGCACAAGGTATCCATATCAAAGTTGACACTGAGAAATAGGGCATTAGAAAATCAAATCGTGACCAATTTCCTCCTCATATAAAGTCAGTAACTGGATCGTAAATGATTACATGAACATGGTATACTACATGCTTGCGACCAAAAGGAAAAGAACCTTGCATTTGCTGATTAATTCAAACACTGGAAAAAAAAATCATGGAACTTAAATTGTAGCTTCAAAATTAGTAGAGAATGATATAAACCAACTCCAAATTGAATAAACAGGACTAACATGAGTCTAACCCGTAGAGATAATCTTTAATGCTGATTAAAATAAGTCCCAGGTCTAGACATTAAATTCAACAAAGATATGAAAAGTTCTGACTCACCGCAATCAATCTAGCTCCAACCCAAATGCGCTTTGGAGAAGGAAATGGCAACATGAGACGACCAACCCCAAATACGGCAACAGCAAAGAAATGGGCAATTAAGCTCAATGGACGGGGATTAAGACCAGATAGTAAAGCCAGAGGTCCAGTTGAACAAGTTCCTCCAAGGCTCAGATAGTCAAAACATGCTTGCCGCATTTCATTCCTTGCCTGATCAGGTGAGGAACTGAAAACCTTATACAGTGCACCAGCCAAGGTGTTTATTGTAGAAGCAACAGGCTAAAAAACAGCAAAGTACAATATTGTTAAGGTAAATATTAAACAAAAATCAACATATAAAATCACTCCATTAGGCCCAGGGACTAGAACATTTAATTTGTATGTATCCTAGTAAAGCTTTAAAACGTGTATAGGCAAACCTTTCGTAAGGTGTAGAAGGATTCCAGATATTTACACAGAGAAGATGCATCATGGAGATCATGCAGTGGTTCAAGGAGATTCTGAAGCACAGCAATATCTGATAATGCCACCGTCATTCCTCCACCTGTTAGTGGATGCCGCATGTTAAATGCGTCTCCCATTAGAAGTGCTCCAGGAGTTGGAAGAGGGTTTGCTGGCATGCTCCTATTTGGCATAGTTTTTATTCTACCGTTATCTACAGCCCCAATAAAGGCATCATGCATTTCACTTGGTATCTGAAAGAAGCAGAAGTAAATCTGCCATAAGATCTACTCTAGTGCAAGAAGAAAAGAATATTACTGCAGAGAGAGAGAGAGAGAGAGAGAGAGAGAGAGAGAGAGAGAGAGAGAGAGAGAGAGAGGTGCATTTCATAATTAGGAAGCATGAATGGAACAACACAACCCAAACAAGAAATATCAACGATAGAGCAATATCAAAATCAGAGCATACTTGTGGTGCTACTACAGTCTTCAAATATTTAGACATCTCTCCGTTAGCAATGGAAGGAATTTTCTGACCAGGTACATCAACCAGGCAGCGAACTTCTGTGCTACTTATAGGATAAAATAGAATGGGTGAAGGATCTGCCAAAATAACATGCGCATGGTTTGGAAATGGTAACTTGCAGTTCTCCAAGATCAAGCCAACAAACGAAGATGGGACTTCCACCTGAACAATAAGATCGTCATCAAACAACCTGAACTAGGTGTATATCTAAACCAATTATGTCAACGTTGAAGTCCAGCATCACTTCCTACTGGATCTAATTTTAACTTTAAATTATAAATAACAACTAAGAATAGCATAAAAAAGGAAAAAATTTGAAAGCCAAGAATAAAATTTACTAGGACAGAACGATCTGAAGTATGTAATCCTTTTACCTTCGAAGAGCAGAGAGAGCGCCGCAGGTTTGAAAAGCAGCCATCACATACAATAGTGAGAGGAGCACAAGCTTGCATTTCTTCACCAGCTTTACTCTTATATATCACTCCTTTAACGACCTCCTTTTCTTCAAACAAAGATGTGACAGTTCCCTCCTCCATAAGAACACTAAAGCAAAGAAGACCACAGAAGCTGTTTATTTATCCATAATGAGAAAATATATACAACATAAGGAGCATCCTGCTAAAACTAGTCCACAATTATGGCTTATCATTTATTGATGCAGTCAAGATAAGGGCTGGTTTGGAGGGGTTTTGGTTGCTGTTTGGTCTTCCCATGTGGCTGTTTGGTCTACCAATGTTTGAGTTTATTTGATTTCTAATTTTATTTTTTAGTAAATTAAGCATTGATTTAATCCTTCTGAATTGCTCCAGAATTGGTGCATTACGTAAGAAATTGCTCATAAGATAAGGGTTTTTATGATCCCAACAAAAGTAACTGAATGGAAGCAAACTAAGTTTTAAAAAAAGGAAAAATAATTGTATATTAGTAGTTGGATATTGCAAAGGGAAGTTCAGCCTTTTAGTTTGTTCATTTTAGAGTGTAATTAGCTTTAACCATGATAAAGCCTTAGAGCGTCCACTTATAAAAAAATATACATATACAGAATACGATCCAAATGAAGTATAATTACTTGGGTAAAGATGCAGCTTTTTCCCGCATCCTCTGTACAAAACGTCCATTGTGAAAGCTCCTGCCAGCAACACGTGAACCATATTTCTCCAAAGGATAGGAGAGCTTTGTATTCTCCCCATCTTTAAAAAGTGCGTAACCATCAACTCGTTGAGCATCAATTTCTTCAACACAGTCTGCATCGAAGAATGAGAAAGCATTTATTGTAACAATGTAATCCTCCAAAGATCATTGGAAAAAAAAAAAAACACTTTCTAAAAAATAAAGTAGTAGCAATGGCAACAAGGGGAACTCCTTTGCCACTACTATCAGCTCTTGCTGAAATCACTTAAATCTCTAACTTCAGGCTTTTTTAGTTAGTTCTGGTTTCTTCTTTTTGATAGCCACAGGTTCTCATAGTTTTTGTTTCTACAGGTTGTAGCTCTTTTTTATTTCTGGAGCCTGCCTTTTTTCTGCAGCTATTGCTCTTTCTCTTGTTTTGCTGGCTTAGCTTCGTATTTATTTTTGTTAATGAAAATTGAGCAATGTCCTTAATTCCTCCGCGCCCCCCCCCCCGCGAAAGAAATAAAAAAAACTAGAAAATAAATTTGGTTATTTATGCGTAAGAGAAACTTGAATAAATGGGCAGAACCAAGAATTTACCCTCAAGGCCCAACTCAATCAATTTCAGGTAGCCTCCTGGTTGTAAAAATTCACCAACGATTCTATGAGGCTCTGCCAAATCTCTTTCAATTACATGTACTCGACGGCCAGCCTACAAGAAATGATAAAGAAGCAAGGTCAATTAATCTTGTCAAAATAACAAGCACTTCGAATAACATCTATATTCAACATTTTATGGGGCCTTTGATTGTCAAGATATGAGAGAAAATCTACAAATAAATTCAAACTCGCACTGAAATTCCACTTCTTATATCAGTATACAACTACAGAGAAAAATGACTATTTGCCTTATTCGCTCACAATAAACAGAAGTACCACAAATATTTACTAAAATATTGTAAATTCTAAGCATAACCATGTTCAAAATAGTTCTTGTATCAATTAAATCACAGAAATACTCGTAATTCATTTTTGCCTGAATAAGGGATCTATAAGCTGTGTTGCGCCAGTGGTTTAATTAAGCGTTCACGCATGTTTGGTAGCAGAAAAGAATAAGGCCATCTTAAGGTAACCTGTATGCTTTAGTAGCAGAAAAGAGAAGATCAACTTCAAACTACTACTAAAGGCATAGCCGTGTTTCCCTAACAACGGTTATGCAATATCCTGCTAAAGAAAGAACCGTTATAGTGAATTTGTCTGTAGCTGCATTAGAAGCATTTTCAAAAGTCTTTGACTGTAGTTATAATTGTAAAGGGGATGGTCCAGATTTAGTAAATGGATTAAAATCTAAAAAACTATTTGATATAAAAACTCACTCTCTGTCACTTTCTATCGTTTACTCCCACGTAATTCTCAGGGGAGTCCTCTCACGACAGCAAAACGACATTAAAAGGCTCTTTGGCAACCTGAAATAAGATTTAATTTAAAAAAGATTTATTTATTAAATTCAATTTCTTATCTTCCTATAATAATCTTAAATCATAATAAAATAGAGAAATAGTTTATTATGATTGAAAAAAAAATTAATAATTGTTATTTCAATAGTTTTTTCAATTTTAACTCTCTCAGAATTTATTAAATTTAGATTTATAAGATTTACTGAATCCTATTTGAGTTGAATATTACTTATAGCCATACAACCTTTGAGGAATTTTATATTCAAGGTTATGAACTTCTTCAAATGTTATCATGATATTAATACAATTAAGAAAATTGCCTGTTTAGCTGAGTTTAAATGTAGAAAATATGGTCAAACATCAAGTATATGTGTAGAGTAGCCTTTAGAGAATCAGTCCAACCTGATACAATTTTGTTCAAATATTAATATATTTGCAAATTAAGGCTTCATTTGAGCAACTTTTTTACTGCTTTCTAAAGCAGCTTTCAAGTTCAAAAATTTTTAATTCAAAAAAAATTTACTCGAAAGCTATTTTAGAAAGCAGTAAGAAAACTATCTCAAATGAAGCCTCAGTAACCATTTAAACCGATTAAACATCAGCAATCTACCAGATAAGAAGGTAGATGGATCAATTGGCAGGAACAAAACGTTTCGATTACATAGAATTCAAGGCAACCAAGGCAACGGTCTCTTCAATTGCAGAATGGCAATGTATCGTTTTTTCTTCATTCAACAGAAAACAAAATGAACAGGGAAGTTGAGTAGTTGACAAATTTGCCTCCCACTAACGATTAAAAAATACTACATTTAATGTGCTCACAACACCCAACAAAAATTGTAGAACCATAAATGTTGCATCCTACGTTACGCAACCATGCCCGATTAAGGCAATAATATAATAACAGGATTTTGATTGATCAGAGCCGGTCTTAAAAATTTTAAATTCATTTTGAATAAGTGTAATATATCATATTAACTTTTTTTAGGGCGATGAGTGACTTGATAGCAATTGTTAGTTTGTTATTGCTATTATTTTACTATTTAGAACATGACTTGAAGATAGAATTTTTTGTTGGAGAAAAAACTTTCTATCGAGTCTTGTACAACTCCTGCAAAGTATTATATTAATTTTGACACAGCTAATCAAAAATTGAACTGAATATATTGAGGAGAATGGTTGAACAGTTGATGGGTTTTATCACTTCACAATCAACCTAAATTTGAACTCGCTAATTACTAAGAGGCTCTATGGGATTTTTTATTTTTTAGATTTTATTTTTAGTATGCTTTGTTCATGCTCTGAGATATCTTTAAATTATGCTCATTTTATTTTTATTGAATATTGAATAAGTTGACTTTAAACTGTTGATTATAGTGATGGTAGCCTCGGTCCATGGAGGAGGCTAATTGTGATAAGAATATATAAGAAACAAGCATGCTTTCTAAATTTAAGAATAAAAACAAAAAAAACAAAGGTGATATTAAGCAAATCCTAATATAATTGGATTTGATCAGCTCAACGCTTAAAAAGAAAAGGAAAAAAACACAAGCACACAACCGCACAACAAAACGCATCGCCAACCCTCGCTGAACTTAATCAGAATTAAGAAAATATATGCATATAGCAAATACCAAATCAAAAAAGAAGAAACAACAACAGAACAATGCTAATCCAGTTCCGCCGAAGAAAGAACCAGCCTTCAATGGAGAAAATCAAAATGAGAAAACAAAGGGTTTGTGAAAAAGAAACTTTACCTTACCGAGCGTGTAGGCGAGTGCGGATCCAGCAACGCCGGCTCCTACAACGATGACATCGGCTGAGCAGCGCGATCCCGCTCTCGCTGTTTGCGTCCTCACCGCATGAATTCCCGCTTTGCCGGATTCATTTTTCTTCGCATGTCGATGCCTGAGAAGCAAAAGAAACCCTAAGAGAGAGGTGACGACGCCTCCAAAGATGTACTGGAGAAGCATCATCCTCGCCGACGAAGCCTCCTCTTTTCCTTATTTGTCGGCTGTCATTCCCTGCTTTATTCGTTCGGCTTTAAAGGCGTAGGGACAATAAATCACGTGGTTCGGTTATCCGCCTCTCAGCTTTACTAATCCTAGTCCGTCCAACTAACTGACGCTTTCGGCCTCATTCCCGTGTGGCGCCACTTCTGGAGACCGGTCAACTGGTGGAGTGTGGAAATGAACAGTTAAATGCATGCGTCTCATTATTATATTGCATTCTATTTTTATGTAACATTTTTTTTTTATTTACATACATACCTTTTTTTATCATTTTATTTACATATTAATATTCAAATTTTAATATTATATATATATATATATATAATTTTAATATCAAATACCTATAAACTTTAATATTTCATTCCATGCATTCAAAATTATTCAATGAGTGGTAAGCATGTAATATTAATGTTTAGGATGTTAGATATGTAAATCTCATGGAATAAAGTGGTATGTATGTAAATCCCCATATATTTAATTGAGGCCAAATTTTTGGAACCAGCAAGCTTGGCGTCAAATTTAGGGGAAAAAGCATGATTTCGAAATAATTCTAAAAGAAGCGAACTCGCTGTACCATTTGGCGCAATACCTGAATGTGAGATTTTGTTCAGCGCATTCCTAATGGCGCATTCCTTGAATTTGCCTAAAACTTTCGACCTTCGCGCAATCATGTTCTGTCGGCTGCAGCAAAATGAAATTTCTGAAATTTCGCGCATTCAACTAATGATTGTGCTATTTGAAGTAATGATATTACAATGATTTTTTTTTTTGAGAAATGAAATCATTTTATTGTTTATAGTATTTTAAATTTTTATATTAAAATTTAGCATCTTATCGTTGTTAATATTATTATTTATTAAAAAAAATCAAATTATCTCTAACTTTTTCATTTTGTTTTTTCATGAGGGGTGATATGATAATTATCGCGTATTATCGTACCTTTTGTTTTACACTTAATTTATGAAAATGTTATCATCTTAATAGTAAAAATTTATATATAACCATTTTTTTATATAAATTTGAATGAATCAAAGTAATAATTAGATTAAAAAAATGTTTAATATAGCTATTTATAACTTAATTAAAATATTTAATGAAATATAAGTTGAATTATAATATAATATATAAAGTTAAATTAGATATATTTTAATTATAATTTATTAACCGGAAAAATTAAAGAAGTTGAAAGAGAGTTTATATTATAATTTATTTTATTTATAATTAAATTTGTAAATAATTTGATTTTGGAATAAATAAAATGACTATTTATGGAATACCTTATTTTCCTTAGAATAAATAATTAGAGTAAATTATAAAATTTATGTGACTAAATGAGAAAAAAAATTATTAAATTATGTAAATAAAATTTTCTTTTAAATAAAGTATAGTCACAGTAATAATTAAAATAATTAAAAATATATTACATAATTAAAGAAAATTATATTAGTAATGATAAAAAGAAGTAAATAATTTAAAATATAGTTTTAAAGATTCTTAAATATTAGAAATATTTAATTTAGTTGAGTTTATTTAATTTAAAAATTCACTAAAACTTATTTTGCTGAAATATAATAAAACCGACTTAGAAGTTTTTAAGATAAATAACATGGTAATCATACATATCAATACATACCCTTATCGTACACATCAATACACACCATTGTCATATTCTAAGCACATGTCGTATGCGAGCTTAAAGTTGTGTTTGTGTTGGACAATATTTGAAGTGGAACATAAATCCGTGTTGAAGGTGGTTCCAATCTTTGCCATCTAAAAATTCTTTTTCCTTTCCATCTTGAGAACATTGCATCAGCATTTTATAGGTGTCTAGAAACTATTTATCTTTGTTAGGGTACCAAAAATATCAAGCTTCGACATTCCTATCCTCGGCTTAACTATTCCTTATTTGTCACGACCAAATTCTCGAATACGCCCCTTTAAAAAACTTATTGATACGAGGTGGCCCCCCATGTTGCAAAATCTATCTTGTAGCAATTTTCAACCAACATCTCGAAGTTGAAACCCTGACCTATATTGCTTAATTTCATAACATCATGATTTTCATGCCATAGGATGACATCATCATCTTCCCCCAAGTATGCATAACACTTCTAAAAATTTCATTCATTGTTGCCCTTACTTCTAGGATCTCTATTATACTATAAGCCAAACTTTCATGTAAACGATAACTTTTTTCTTCAATCAGTTGCTGCGTCGATATACCTCTTATTTCTTCCATGATTGAAGAGTACATTTTGTAATAATGCAGTTGTTCTTCCTTAATAAGTGTATTCCTATATAGCATGAAAAAAAAAGATGACGTGAAATGACCAAAATAATTGGGGATCTTATAAATTGAAATAAGGTATACTACTACACATTGGATTTTAAGTTATAGTTAAAATAAGATAGTAATATAATAATTTATATAGTTCTTTATTATTAAGCTTTAATCATTACATTATAGGACTATTATAATTTCTATGAATTAGGTTATGTGATATTCTAAAATATAACAAAAATTTTAAAGTAAATGTTATATTATTTTAAATTTGTATTAGTTATAATATTGTTTAAATTATCATATAGTATAAGCTTATGTTAGCATTAAAATTGAGTGCAGCATAAATAATCATTAAATTATTTTACATATTTCAGAACATCCATCCATCATACATTCATATATACATGAAATGGAGAGCATAAAAAAGAAAATACATTATCAGAGCTTATTTATCGATGACGCAGAAGAGCCTTACTTATGGGAGTATATCTATCTAGGGCCCTTCTTATTCATCGTTATAGTTGTTGTTATTCCTCAATAAATTCCTCTTCTTGCTCTATAAATTCTGCATGATGCTGCGTTGCATCAGTGTATTATTGTGATGGTTGTCCTCCCATCAACATTATTTCTTGCTGTGAGGGGGAGGTTGGTAACCTAACACTTGACATCTACTCTGGTATAGCAATCGAAAAAAATGTATGTGTGTTGGAATGTTGAGATGGTGTACCATAATATATTTCATGTGCATCACTTTCCTGTGCACCAAATGAGATTCAATGTTGTGTGGATGGCCTTGCCCCAATCATGTCATAGACAGTCGACGGAGTATGCATTGAAAGTCTAGGTGGTTCCCTCTCAGTACTTTGGCGACATCGACTTCTCGTGGATATAGATGGAGCATTAGAGGTTAACCATCTTGCTCCTTGAGCTATATTAGAATCTATTTCTTCTTCCCTAGTTTAGCTCCTCTCATCTATTGTGGTGTCAAAAGTAATATAGTCGATATAAACTGAACGATGCACTCTAATAAAGAGCTCAGTTACCAAGTCAACTGTTAATTATAATGAACTGTCATTTTGTACTTCACCCCCCCCCCCCCCCGCGCCACACCCCCCCCCCCCACGCCAATGGCTTTAGAATAGCAGTTGAATGTATGTAGTAGTCAGCCTACAAGATGCGATATATTTGTCAAATTCAAATTTATTAAACATGTAAAAAAAATTTAATAAATAATGTTACATACCACCAATCGTTTTACCAGAGATCGAGGGAAGAAAGTTTCTGGTGGCTCTATTTGTGGATATAACAGATAAATCGACGCCCATGATATATATCACCATAGGTATGTGCCCAACTCCTGATTACCTGTGCCGTCTTGTAGAATTAATGTGACAACATACGCTCTCCTTTCTTCTTATAGCTCAAGGTATTCCCGATATTGAATAGTCTAACCTGAATCTGCTCTACCTCTTACATCAATCCTTCTAAATTTTCATTCCATTGGTGGAACATTAGTGAATTGTACTCTCCCAAATTATCTCATAACACGATCAAGTAGATGTCACTCGGTATGCTTCCAGTTAATGAGGGGCACTCGGCATGCCAAATGTCCCTCCCCTCCAGACATTGGTTAGGCAGAGCTGTAATAATCTCATATGTGTATAGAGTCATGCTCACATAGTATCAATAAAGTTAAAAGATTATTAATGATTCTTGATATTTAATAAATGTATGAGGGGAGAATATTATAATTTTGTATTACCTGACTAAGCCTTAAACCATCCAAATCATCACGATATGTCATCATATTTTCGGATGGGAGCTTAAACATCTAATCTTCTGCCCACTTGTAGATAACACAAAATAATATTATAAAATGTCATATGAGTATAATTTTTTGTAGTAATTAAATGTTAATACCTACACCAAGAGGTTTGCCGCCGAAATCGTGTATCTGTGGTACACGTAGTGTGGGTCTCCCAACATACAATCGCTCGCATGACCAAATTTATAGTAATGACACACATCCAATAATATAAGTATGTGTGGGCCTAGTTGTATTACACAGCTCTCTGTATAGATGCATAAGTACATCACTACCAATAAATATTCGTCCAAAGAATTCCAAGTCTATAAGTAAGGGCAACCACTACAATAATACATGTGATCGCGACATTTCTGATATAAAAAAGCACCCAATCATGAAGAGGATATAAGCCCGAACATGCTGAAGAAAAGGACCGGGAGCTAACTCTTCGTATGAATCCCAATAGAATATCCATCGGAGCCATGTAATGGGAGCATTGACTCTAACTATATACTACCCATCCTGAATGTGACCTTATCATTTTCATCACCTGGTGTATGATACACAGTATCCCTGCCTGGATGTGTATCAAGGAGATCATCACAGCATTTTGGCCAGGATTCCCAACGACGACCTACACCCACCACATTTGGGCCCATGATGACTGACCCATTAATTCTCAATCCAAGTATAACCTGCACATCTTGGAGCGTTGTTCTCATCTCTCCGACTGCGAAATGAAAGGTGTTATTCAGTGGACATCATCTTTCTACAAGTATTGTTATTAGGTTATGATCCAGGCATATAAACTGTAGATGATGAATGTTATGTAGCCAAAGATTTCTTAGAACATATATTATGTGGGGGCACTCCACTGGCCACTCACGCGTCGTTCGTAAATGTGTTGAAGTAACTAATGGAGATGCATATTGGAAAAAAACA